GCCGGCGCCGGCGCAGCCGCTGGCGGGCGCAGTTCTGCCGCGGCTGCTTCATGAAGAGCAGCGGCGGGAGCCTGCGCAGGAAGAGCGCGCGCACCCACGGCGGCATGGTGTGCGTGGTGGGCGAGCGGTGGTGCACGTTGAGCACGCACACGCTCGTCACGATGGAGAAGGTCACCAGCACCATGGTGAACATGAGGTACTTGCCCACGAGCGGCACGTCCAGCGAGGTGGGCGGCACGATCTTGGAGATGAGCAGCAGGAAGACGGTGAGGGCCAGCAGCACGGAGATGCAGAGCGTCATCTTCTCGCCGCAGTCGGACGGCAGGTAGAAGACGAGGATGGCCAGCGAGGTGATGAGGATGCAGGGGATGATGAGGTTGATGGTGTAGAAGAGCGGCTTGCGGCGGATGATGAAGTCGTACGTGATGTCCACGTAGGTGGAGTCGTCGGGGTTCTCGTTGCGCCGCCCCGGCAGCGCCACGATGTCCCACTCGCCGCTGGGCGTGAAGTCGTCCAGATTGGCCACGTCGTTCTTGAGCACCAGGTCGATCTCGGTGTGGTCGTAGGTCCAGGAGCGGAACTTCATGGTGCAGTTCTGCTGGTCGAAGGGGAAGTGCTTCACCTCGATCTTGCAGGCGCTCTTGTAGATGGCCGGCGGCAGCCAGAAGATGCTGCCGTCGTAGGAGATGACGGCGTTGGAGTAGAAGGACACCTCGTACATGCCGTCGGCGCTGGGGCAGAGCGGGGCGCCGTGAGCGGGGCCCGCGGCGCCCCGCGCCCGGCCCCACGGCACCTACTTGTTGTAGAGCACCACGTCGGGCAGCCAGATGTGCTTGGAGGGCAGGCGCACCTTGCGCATGTTGTCGAAGTCCTCGGGCCGCCAGGTGAGGCGGTAGTCCTCCCACTCCTGCGTGAGCCACACGTTGGTCGTCATGATCTGCTCGCGCTCGTGCTGCGGGCGACAGCGGGCGGCCCCTGAGCGGAGCCGGTGCCGGCGCCGGTGCCGGTCCCGGTGCCGGTGCCGGCGCTCACCACGCTGATGAGCTGYGCCAGCGACACCATGAGCTGCACGGTGACCAGCTCGGAGCCGTTGGTGGCCGGGCGGATGAGCTTGTTGTAGCGCGCCGGGTCCAGCAGGTACTCGATCAGCCGCTCCTCCGTGTCCGTGGCCGGCGCCCCTGYGGCGCCCGGGAGCTCAGAGACCCCCGGAGCACCGGGACGGAGGGACCTCCCCGCACGGCAGCACCGGGAAGGAGAGGACCCCCCCACCGGGGCACGGGGTGCACCGAGAAGGAGAGATCCCGAGCACCGGGAGCAGCGGGAAGGAGAGATCCCCTCCCCACCAAAGCACCGGGAAGGAGACATCCCCGCCCCAAGAGCACCGGGAAGAGCCGGGAAGAAGGAGACTGGTGGTGGGGGGGGCAGGTCCCTCCAGAAGCGGCGGGGACGGGGGGCACCAGGTCCGGGTGATTGAAGGGGGACGGCAGCCGGTGGGGGGGACCGGGCCGGTACCGCTATCGGAGGGGTTGGGGTGGCGGTACTGGGAGGAGGAGAGGGGAGAGGCAGCCGGTTGGGGGGTGGGGACCGGGCCGGTCCCGATACCGGGGTGGGTTGGGGTGGGTACTAGGTGCAGCAGATGGGAGAGGCAGCCGGTTGTAGCGGGGCCCGGGCCGGTACCGGCACC